GTTACCGCTGTTAATTCTGCCTTGTAATCGCAACCTGCGAAAACAAAGGCAGTAAAACCAAATCCGTCACCGTTTTGAAGCTTTTAGCCCTTCCAGTCTCCACATCCACCACCCCACACCCCTCATCTCCACCCTGGCGCCACCTCCTGATCCCGTCTCGTTCTTGCCACGCTTCCCTGACCCTGCTCCTTCCCCAGCATGCCTTCGCCCCAGCCCACTGGTCCCAGCTCACGGTTTCTGGGATCCTCCCAGAGCTGGGGAGCGCGAGGGAATACTAAGGGAAGAGATGAGAAGAAGCTCTTCTGATGGTGGAGAAAGCACACGGAGACACTGGGACGTGCTGATGGTCCCACATGTGTGTGAAAACATTCAGGAAAAAAACAGATAATGGGTTTATTTGATGTGGCAATTGGCTTATTTCATTTGCAGCCACTTTCCGCACCGGAGCCTGGGTGTAGCTGTCGGTGCTGTGATGGAAACACACTGAATAACACACGCTTCTCACGGCAAAGCTCAAGGAACTGATTTTTTTCAATGGCAACTGGAAATTTTGCCCAAAAACTCTGCATGTGGAAGATCTGGGGATCAGGCTTCGGAATTATCACACGGAAATACCCCACAGAAGCCGGCCTTGTGCAGTGTTCTCCTGAATTGTTCTAACCAGTCTCAAAGTGCCTGTTGCTTTACCAGGCTGTTTCAGCTTTGTGCCCATACTCATGGTCGGGAGACGCCGCCTAGGGAACCGCTTGGCAGTCTGCACGCTCACTACGGCCCTGAAGATGCAGGAATTTTGCATTGTGGATGAACACCCGATTCTAGATGAAATCACCCCGAAGTGAAGTGTAGCAAGACCCTGGGTCGACGGGAGCCTGCCCAGAGACTCCTTCCCAATGCTGCCATCTAGAGAGAAACAGCCCATCTTCCACAGGGAAAACGTTGTCAGATCCTACAGAAAAAGAGGATTTCAGAGCTTTTCTGCCTCCAGCACAAGGGTTCAGCCTCTGGTGCATGTGCTCGCCGACAGCAGCTAGAAAAACCATCACCCCGTGTGCCAGGAGTCACCCCGGCCGCTGTGTCCTGCTAACGACTCCCGGCAACGGCAGCTCTGCAAAACCCACCGGAGTGGGACAAGAGACCACGGAGCGGCGTTTCGGGGCTCGGGCTGGGTTCCGCTCCGGGGACGGCTGCGCTCGCTTTGTCGGTGAGCTCTTCGTGCCGTGGAAACTGCACGCAGAAATCAGATCTTGCATTACGTAAACGTGGGGTACAGATTAAAACGCGCACGACTGGTGAGACATCTGGATCTAATCGGGCTCCTCCGGGGCGGGAGGCTGGAGCTGTAGTCTGAAGAGAAGCAAAGAAAGAGCAGGAGTAATTTTTCACGCAAACACCCACCTGCGCAGAGGGGCTGAGGCTCCGCCAACGCCTCCGTCGCCACGTCTTTGGCAGACGTGGCCCACGAAGCGCCGTACGGGCCGACCGTGTTGCTCTGCTCTTGCACCCAGTCGCTGACATGGAAGGAATCCGCTGTGACGCAGCCCGGGGGTAAAAGTGAATTTCCTGAGAAAATTACGACTAAGTGAACCTCGGCGCGTAGAACGGAAGTCGCCCGTATTCGGAGCCGCACCGGTTATGCTTAACCACCGGGCACTTTTCCTTCGCTTGCTGTATATTCAGAGACTTGCTGGCACTCGGGCAGCTGCCCAGAGCTACGACCCAGTGGACAAATCCACCCGGGCTTCCCCAAGAACCATCTTTTTGCCTGTAGCTGTGTCTGTCGTCTTTGCAAGGCTCCAAATCCCGTGAGCTGAACGGGCAGAGGCCGCACAGGCACAGACCGTCACGGGGGAAAGGTATCGCCAGCAGGGAACAGTTCAGGTTCCGCTTGGAGAAAAGGAACAGTCGGAGGGACCGTGGCTGGGATAAAGCCCGGAGAGCGCAGGAAGGCTTCCATCTCATTCCGAAGACACTGAAACGCGAAAGCCCCAGGAGAAGAGAGCTGCGTGCTGCCGTGGAGCTGTTGGCACCACCACGGGTGAGAGAGCAGCTTTTAATAGACAGAGTTTGACTGAAAAGCGCCCACGGTTCCAGCAGAAGGAACCCGGGACTGACCTGCTTCCAACAGATGCCAACTGTAAACTGCGGGGTCACTTGTTCACGCAACGCTTAAAAGGGCAAATTAGAGCAGCCAAATTGTGGTTCCCCCACTAATCCCAGCTTTCTGTGCCGCCGGCGGCGAGGAGCCTCCGAGCCCTGACCCTGCCAAGCAAAGCGCTCGGCATCGCAGGCACAGGGAACCTGGCTCGCCCAGCCTCAGGCACGAGCTTTCCGGGCAGTGATGCTGTACACACCCAGCAGCTGTTTGGGTGCCAACACAATCTACAAAACGTGTTATTTGCAATTCTAGTTTGGTTTTATCACCAAAAGGGACCGAAGTTCTATGTGCCAATGTAAATTCTGCTTTTGGCTCTCGGCGTATTTTATCATCACCGATTTACATTGTTTTCAAGGTTGTTATTAGCTGACTGCGAGATCAGATGTTTCCGTGCCACACGTGTCCCCCACAGAAGAAGCTATCGAGTAGATTTAGACCTGGTCTTTGAAGTGCTCAGAAGAAAGGAGACGACTCAGATTAATTTGGAATCTTCCTTGCTGCCTGCCTCTGCCCTTTCCTGGCTCTGTGGCTCACGCTTCCAGACCGATTCACTTGGCAAAAGTCAGAGCAGCATCCGTGCTAATGTATGGAAATGGAGTCCTTCGTTCCAGCCCCAAATAGTCCACACGTTTTCTCCGCTAAAACAATTACAAACGTCCTCTGCAGGTTAAAAAGGGGAGCGGGAGCCGGCGCCGTGCTGCAGAGCAGCAGCCAAGAGGTGTTTTGATCATGGCCGGGCACTAAGGGCTCTCAAGGAGCAAGGGCTTCTCTTAGAGGACTGAAATCCGTATTTGCCAGCAAAAACGTTGGGAAAAAATCAGCAAGGGGGTTTTGCAGCAGAGATTCGCTGGAATCGAAAAAGGGGCAGGTGAGTCGCGCGCTCACCCGCGTGAGCTGGGCCGGGAGAGGGGCCGGAGCAGAGATCCGAAACAGCAGCGGGTTTGGTCCCGCGTCCCCGATGCTTCTCTGGCACAAGCACCGTCGCGGCAGGATCTGGGCTGAAGCGTCCCGTGAGACAGAGCACGAGGGGGACGCGCGGTTGCTGTCACCCACGGAAAAGCTGGAAGTGAGGAATTATGAGTGAGAGGCTCCGGGTTTCGTTGCCAACCTCCAATCCAGCCAGGCACCTTTTTTGGCGTACCTGGATTATGCGATTCACTCTGACACACCTTTCGCCTACGTGAGGACGTAATTATGGCCTGGACCGTATTGAACTGCTCTTTTTGGGTCTGACGTGTAACTAGGGTTGGTTTCTTCCCCCCCTTTCTCCTTTCAATGTGGACACCACAGTGTTTGCTGGGATTTTGGATTTCTTTAGTTGCGTTTTCTCAAGAGACACAGCCTGTGCTGGGTATGGCTTTTGTGCTCCCCGCCAGCGGCGCCCGCCTGCTGCTCTCCGCACCTGAACTGCCTCCCGGGAGGTTTTCCTTCCGCTCGGCAGATCGTGGACAGGAGGAATCAGCGGATTCGCAGCAGCTGTAGGGGGAAGAGGCGCAGGAGCCCAGGAAGCTCCAGTCTATCTCCATGCACATGGGGGGTTTGGTTTTGATTTTTCCTTTTTGCATGAAGTGGGAGAAACCCATTTGCCACTGCTGCTCAGGGATCCAGCCTGAATTCCGGCTGCATAGACCATGGCTCTGTGGAGCCCAGCCAGGACAGAGGGCAAGACCAGGCATCAACGCTGCAGGTGACAATGGCATGTAAACCAAAAGGGGGAAAGTCACCTAAACCCATTCCCACTAATGCAACTACTTAATTATTAGCACAGTTTAAGCCGTAACAGCCTTGAGATGGAGGGAGTAAACCAACAGGGTCTTGTGGATCCACCTGGGGTTATTTTCCAGAGTCCCCCTCCCTGCTGGAGGGTGTCACCTCCACGGACGAGGGGCACTAAGTCAGCGGCATGAGCACGGCTAGACCCCACCAGGGCACAGTCAGCAGGAGGGGCCAGGAGCAGGAACACAGCTCAGCTCCCAGGGGATGACTTCCAGGAAAAGGGCAGGAGGGTGCAGCTGCAGGGCATTAACATCAAACAGCTGCAACTTGTTTCCAAAGTGACCCTCTCTGTGCCCTTGGATAAGATACTGCACCTTAATGCCTGCAAATCTGATTATTCCAAGGATCTTACTATCCACGTTCAACCAAACGAGCTCAACAAAATAATCTTTTATTCTTCAAAAGGGAGCCTGTCGCGATGTAAGGAAATAAAAGAGCACGGAGCAGTAATTGTAGGCCATATCACTTTAATTTCCTGCAATGCTTGTTATTACTCATTTCTGCGTGGGGGGTTTGTTGTGGGTTTTTTTTTCTTATACAGAAGGCAAGTGGGGATCAATTTACATAATTTGGTTTTGAAAGGGAAAAATCCACCTAAGTGCAAAATACTCAGCCTTAATACACAGCCATGGCTTACTCAGAGACATCACGTGTAAAAGACTCTGTATTAAGGAGGACAAAGTATTTGTGCTGCTTTTCCAGGAAGGTTTCCAAGACAGAAAAAAGCCTCTGTATTACTGAAGAATTTAGTCTCTTTGTTATTTCTAGAGCCTTTTGTTTAAGGAAAAAAAAGTACATGTGCTGAACCCGAAAGGCTGTGCTAACGAGCACCACACACGAATCGAATCGCCAGCAGTGCTGCGTGACGCAGAAAAGCAGCACAGACACGTGCACACCAAGTGCTGACAGGGCCTGGGGTTTATTTTCTATCCTTAGCAGTTCAGTAGTGTTCTTAAACGCAGAGATAACATTAATATTCCTCTTTCAGTGGCAGATTTGGCAATGCGAGGGGGGACGGGCTGACCTCCTGCGCTCGCTGCGCACTCCAGCACGGTGCCTGACCAAGCCCTTATGTTATGACGGTCGGACCGGTGCGGCCGGTTCTTTCGTGAAGCTGTGACAGTTTCAGGGCGATGGAAATGAGAGGTGCCAACATGACCTGCGGAAAGGAAAGAGACGCCTCAGAACCGTGGAGCGGCGCGCGTCGTGTCCGCCCATCCCTCGCGGGGCCTCCCGTGTCCGCCCGCGACACCCCAAGCTCAGCATTGCAGGTCCAGGGACTGCTTCCCGTTCACCCCATGGGCTGCAGGACCAGCAGAGGAGCAGAGCAGTGAGGGATGTGGCGTTATGACCACACACGGGTTTGGAGAGGAAACCTGAGCGCGGCTCCGGTGTCGCTGCTGCCACCCTCGTCGTGCCGCACTCCAAACTGTGTTGCATTACGGGCACAGGGCAGGGAAATCAGAAGTTTAGTTCGTGCCTCTCAGAATGGGGGGTGGTTTTTTTAGTCTTTTTGTCAATAATGGCACGGTAAGTTATGCAAAAAGAGCTCAAAGACTGTTTGCTGGGGAATATAAAGTAAGGATTCTTTTCCTCCCATGCCTACGAGAGAGGTCAACAGCATTTTTAAATGATGCTGTAAAGAACATGTATTAAACTTAGCACAGAACAGGCTGGTGTCATCTTGTATACAAGTGCATCCTTTTACCCCCACGTATCTATTTTTAACAAGTATTTCTCAAATTGGGTATGGCAATGAGCTCATTTGATCCCTTGTGATGCAATATTTCAGTTCAGGACTGAAA